TTGATATGTCGTGTTTTTGTGATGTTAGCACATGTGAATTTGTTGTGTGGATTGAATGTTATTATGCGGAGCATAATGGTGGCATCTCACTATTGTCGTTATGCGGAGCATAAGGGTGGAACCTCACTATTGATGATTGTGCAGAACGGTATGGGTGGCTATCAGAGTGATATTGGGTGGCTATCGGAGTGATATGGGTGGCTATTATGTTAAATGTCTGGGCGGAGTGATAAGGGTGACTATTATGATGTTATCAATACGGAGAGATAAGGGTGGCTATGTAAAGGATGATATATGATGGCCTGGGGCACAATGTTGATGATATTCGTGTGATGATGTGATTTTCCTTGTGTGTGTCATGCACCTTACCTGATTTGTTGTGTTGCTTTCAATGAGCTACTCGATGTCTTTGATATTACTTGCTAACTTGGACTGTAATAGTACACTCCCATAGCATAAACCGTAGTATGCCACTTATACCAGTTCAGGAGTATAAAACTTGACATTCAATGATCATGCCCATATATTCTTGTATTATCTGCTTCCATTGTGATATTGGGCATGTGATCATGCCGGGCGGATTGTGCATGTTGTCATGCCAAGCGAATTTTTGTATTGATCATGTGACCACCCGGGCGAAATTGTGATTGTGAGCCCGTGATCATGTCGGGGCGGACTGAGATATTGGCACGTGCGTTGTCCGTTCGGTTGTGATTAATAATGTGGGCACAAGGTGCCGTGATCATATGATTTGTGGTTTGAGACTCGTGACTTGTGTTTATGAGATGAGGTATCTTAGAGTTATTATGTTGTGAAACTTGTGTTAGAACGGTCTGAGTATTCGGTTGTCATTGTTTTTCCTTAATCGGTTTCACTGGTACTTAACGGTGTTCAAATTACTTTACGGCTATATCACATGTTTATTCCTTGTTGTCATTTACTACTTAAATTTTCCATTATTAGCTTTATACTTATTTACTGCACATGTTATTATGACTAGTAGGTGTCTTGACTTGTACCTCGTCACTACTCTACCGAGGTTAGTCTTGATACTTACTGGTTACCGATCATGGTGTACTCATACTATGCTTCTACATATTTTTGTGTAGATCCAGGTATTAGAGATAACCGACTCAGACAGAGTTAGCTTCTTGATCGTGAGGATTCAATATAGAGCTGCTTGGTCGTCGCAGTCCCTTGGAGTCCTTTTTTCCTTTTGATCGTACTGTTAAGTTGATATCCGAACAGTATTGTATTTTGTTTGAAGATATTTCTATGTATTTGACTAGAGTTCGTGACTCTGTATTACCTAGTCTTGGGAGGTTGTTGTGATTATTATCGCGTAAGCTAGTTTCACCCTTATTTCGGTATTTATATTAAACTCTGCTTTTAAAATATCACTGTTCAACCGGTTTAACTGTTGTAAGTAATCGACTTACCTAGTCTTAGAGACTAGGTGCCGTCACGGCGCCTAAGGCGGGATTTTGGGTCGTGACAAGTTGGTATCAGAGCTCTAGGTTTATAGGTTCTATGAGTCATGAGCAAGTTTAGTAGAGTCTTTCAGATCGGTACGGAGACTTCTATACTTATCTTTGAGAGGCTCTAGGTTTATAGGTTCTAGCAAGCTCATGATGATCATACTTCGGGTGTGGTGCCAGTATAACCTGTTATTCCGGTTCAGCCTGAGATAAGGCCAGGGGCATCAGAGGAGGAGCAGAAGAGACTTGAGAGGTTCAAGAAGTATGATCCACCTACTTTCAGTGGCACAACTACCAAGGATGCGCAGGGTTTTCTAGAGAAGTGTTACCGTATTCACCACACTATGTGTATTGTGGAGGTGAGCAGAGTTGCTTTTACTATATTTCAGCTGTCAGAAGCAGCGTATCAATGGTGGCAGCCTTATGAGGAGGGTCGGCCAACTGATGCAACACCACTTATTTGGACTCAGTTTTCAAATATGTTTTTGAGGGAGTTTTTCCCAGACCCTCAAGGATGCGAGGCGCATAGAGTTCGAGCAGCTGCACTAGGGCGCTATGACTGTGTCAGAGTATGCCATCAAGTTCAGCGAGTTGTCCTAACATGCACCTTCTATCATATAGCCTATACGATTCTATCATTGCACGCATGCCTATGCGACTCTTTTCTCATTTTTCCTCCAGCTTTTATCCAATCTCTAGGCCTCACTTTGTGAACATATACTACCTATGGCAAGTTGTTCCTCTGGGCATCTATAGTTGTATTGAATTTCTTCGCTTAGTACTTTGTTGAACTTACAACTATTGCTATATTTTATTATATAGCCTCGATTATCTATCCTTATGGCATTACTGCATCTTGGTAGGTCATATTATACAGTAACACTTACTTCGCTTTATTATTATCGAGGTCTGCTACCCAACTCCAGGTTACTCTCTCCCTGCTTATCCTATATGTATAAATTTAAGTCCTTTAATGCTTCCTCATTCTATTCATCTTAAGAATGAAAGCCTAATCTCATCTCATACTTTGGAACTTTTATCCATCTATTGTTGATTCACCTTAATATTGATCTATAATATACATTTGATAACTTGAAACCTGTTGCGTAGTACATTGTCACTAGGGCTCACGTCTCATTGGGGAACATCTGAAGTCATTTGCCTGATCCACCTAGGGATAATACTATACTTCAATAATCATATTTCATAGAATCTCAATGTGATTTATCTTATGGGAGAGGGAGTATTCTAATCCCGTGCAATTCATTAAATCCGTTCTCTTTGAATCATTACTCTATTGAAGGCCTAAACGTCATCCTCATATCATTTACCAGCAAGTTTAGTGATGATCGCACTTAATGTCGGTTATCCGTCGCAGCTCTAGGCTGGGTCGTGACATTCAGGAGTATGAAACTTGACATTCATTAATCATGCCCATATATTCTTGTATTTTCTGCTTCCATTGTGATATTAATCCTGTGATCATACCGGACGGATTGTGATAGTAAGCCTGTGGCCATGCCGGGCTGATTTTGGTATTGAACATGTGACCATGCCAGACGGAATTGTAATTGAAAGCCTGTGATCATGCTGTGCGAATTGAGATGCACATGAGTTGTCCATGAGGTTGTGATTAATAATGTGGGCACAAAGTGCCGTGAGCATATGATTTATGGTTTGAGACTCGTGACTTGTGTTAATGAGATAAGGTATCTCAGAGTAATTATGTTGTGAAACTTGTGTTAGAACGGTTTGAGTATTCAGTTGTCATTGTTTTTCCGTAATTGGTTTCACTGGTACTTAACATTATTCAGATTACTTTACGGCTATATCACATGTTTATTCTTTGTTGTCATTTACTGCTTATTGCTTTCATTATTAGCTTTATATTTATTTACTGCACACGTTATTATGACTAGTAGGTGTCTTGACTTGTACCTCTTCACTACTCCACCGAGGTTAGTCTTGATACTTACTAGGTACCAGCCGTGGTGTACTCATGCTACACTTCTGTATATTTTTGTGCAGATCTAGATATAGAGATAACGGACTCGGGCAGAGTTAGCTTCTTGACACGAGGATTCAAGGTTGAGCTTCTTGGTCGTCACAGTCCCTTGGAGTCCTGTTTTCCTTTTGATTGTACTGTTAAGTTGATATCCGAACATAATTGTATTTTGTTTGAAGATATTTTTATGTATTCAGCTAGAGTTCGTGACTCTGTATCACCTAGTCTTGAGAGGTTGTTGTAATTATTATCGCGTAGGCTTGTTTCACCTTTATTTCAACATTTATATTAAACTCTGTTTTTAAAATGTCATTGTTTAACTGGTCTAACTGTTGTAAGTAATCGGCTTACCTAGTCTTAGAGATTAAGTATCGTCACGACATCTAAGGCGGAATTTTGAATCGTGACAACTATACTTACTATATTATAAGTGGAAAGTTCCAAGTGCAAAGTTAAAAGACTAAAATAGCTATCAACAGGTGAACAACCTTTTTGGCCTTCATTCAAATACTACTTCTTCCATATTTTTTTGGTAAAAAAATGTACTGTCTTTCCTCTGTTTTTTCCTCCACTCATATTTTCAATTAAATGCTCTTTTAATTTGGAGGTGGAATTTGAGAAGACAATAGTAAATATCTAATAGTGAAAGAATCCGTTCATTAGCTTGAACCAACAAAATTATATAGTAGTAGTTACAAAGGCATGCAAAGCTATTATCATTTTATGGAGAAGAAGGAAGGAATTGTTAAATATTGTCACCAACTACATAAGGGCTCCTTGAAATTTTCATATCCATGTTTGGTCAGTTTTCTATGACAGAAATTTTCAAAGCAAGCGATTAAAGTTTTTTCTTACTTTTGTTGGTAGATTGATATAGGTTTCCTCTACTTGAAAGTAGATTTGACATTATTTTTTGTGGCTTGAGAAATTTAGGTTCAAACACATATACGGTCAGACCTCTCTATAACAATATCTCTATATAATAATACCTCACTATAAAAGCCAAGCTTTTACGAAATCAATTTTCATGTTATGTTATAATATACGTTCTCTATAACAACACTTCGCTATAACATCCAAAAATATTCGAAACAAATATGACTGTTATAGAGAGTCACTATAAAAGCCAAGCTTTTACGAAATCAATTTTCATGTTATGTTATAAATATATATTTTCTATAACAACACTTTACTATAACATCCAAAAATATATTGAGATTTGACTGTATACATACTTTTATGCTTATTTATTCTTTCGGACTCTTCTCTTCCTCATTTTATGTCCGTGTAGATATGCGATGGGTATATTGAATTTCTTGTGAAGCCTTTCTCTTTGTTAGGAAATTCTTTCTTCAATTGATTTTATTTGATTATTAGAGATATCACAATTTAAATATATTTTTTTAAAGTTAAATTGCATGGGTTATTGAAGAAAAAATTGAAGTTATCAGCTAACCTTTTTTATAACTTAATATATTTACATAATTTTTAAAACTTTGTAACACTGATAAGGGTTACACGCGACACTAGTTGAGAATAAAAACAAATGAACAAGTAGGAGCACAGTATTGAGCCATAGCCATAGGAGAGAACTTATCCAATCCAAAGAATGCTTAATTAAGGCTTTAATATAGTAGCCAATAAGCCAAGCCTGAAGCCGATGAACAGCCAGTCATCTGCATTTTCCCATAGAGAAATAGCCCTAAAAACGACGGAGCAATTGCAGAGAACTTCAAGCCGGAGCACAATTCCCATACTTGAATCGGTCTCTCATACATGGCCAAACCGGACGCAACCGTCGAGAATTCATCGGAAGAAGAAGAATCAAGATGGGGAACCTGGGAAGAGCTCTTGTTAGCTTGCGCCGTCAATCGTTACGGCACAAAGAGCTGGGATTCCGTCGCCGTTGAACTCCAGAAACGGAGCACCGCCCCTGCGCGGTTGTTATCGCCTCATAATTGTAGACTCAAATACCTTGACCTCAAACGCCGTTACTCAAACGAATGTAACGGTAATGGTAACGTTAATGATGACGATGAAGATAAGGAGAAAACCGTTTGTGTTCCTTTGCTTGAGGAGTTACGGAAGCTTCGAGTCGCTGAACTCAGACGCGAAGTTGAACGATACGATCTATCCATCGTGTACATCTCCGAATTCACATCTTCTGAATATATATATACACATGCAAATATATGTATGTATAAGTAATGGTTTGATTCTGTTTAGGTCTTTGCAATTGAAGAAACAACGACTCGAGGAAGAGAGAGAGCGGAGTATGCAACAGACTGAAAACGGAGATTCGAAGTCAGATCTGGCGAAGAACGAACGGAGAGGAGCAAATAACGAAAATTTTGAAGAAACTGAGATCGGAATTAAGCCGGAGGATAAGTCCTCGCCGGAATTAGTAGTCACCGAGGAAGTATCGGAAGAAGCTTCCGATAAGGATCAACAATCAGTAAGCGAATCGAGTTCTACGGACCTGAAACACAGCTGCAGCTTAAAAAGTAGCGCAGAGGAGAACGAGGATAAGACGAAGCCGGTTCGAACCGTAACCGTAAAGACAGAACCGCTCCAAACCGGAAGCATAAAGGAAGAACCAGATAAATGTGCCGAAGAAAGACCGGTTCGTGAAGACTCATGTAATGGCAGCTCGGACAGTGTAGAAAAACCGCCGGTCGGTGTGACAATGAAAGTCGAACCGGTGAGCGAGTCTCCGGAGTTGGTTGAATCAATGGCCGAGTCAAAAGGAGGAGAGGAAGTGACGAAAGAAAACTCAGACGTGCAGAGCTCAGTGAGCAAATCGAGGAAGAAGGTAGACGATATTGTGGTCGGCGGGTGTAGCAGCGGAGATGAACGTGAGAAGGAGAATAGATCTCCCGCCGTTAAAGAAATACCCGTTGAATCTCAGCCGTTGATTGCCTTCCTCGAGAAGATTAGAAGTCATAAGCTCGGCTCAATGTTTGAGCGTCGGCTCGAAAGCCAGGTGATAAAACAAGAATCTCGTCTTTTCTTTTACGTTATTTTATTATTGTTATTATTTCTTTGGTAAATTATTGTTACTATTATCTTTACTTTTGAAAGTTTAACTAAGGTTGTTTATTAAAGTTACAGTGGCGTTGTGGTTATTCTATCTGAATCAAAATCCGACGTCGAAGCATGTCTGATAGTGATTTTAATTGTTTTTTTTTGTGGGAAAGTTAATGTCAAGTTGAAAACATTAAGGATTCTAATTTTTTATAACAGAGAAACAACTCAACTATAATCATTTACCACACAAAACAAAAAAAGGCTAAAAATGCTAAATCTGCCACTTTGGTAACAACATTAATTATGTGGCACCACTTAAATAAAAACAAAATAACCATTTTTGACCCACTTAAAAAAAACTTACTACTATTTATTTGCCACATGTGAAAGATATCAAGTATTATGATTTTTTTACTGGTCGATTCTTCAATTATTGACTTCAACACCGTCATTGTGTGCATTTCTACCTCTGGACCTTTAGAAACCAACGGAAGTTTTCCTTTATACAGTCACTATTTATCTCATAAAACAGCACTATGAAGATAAGGCAAAGAAACATAGATCAATTTAAACATATTTACAGAGCAATTATGTGCCTTTTTTCTGATATCTCAGAGATCAAATGAACAAATGAATGAAACTAGAAATGGAGTTTTGTTTTTTTTGGTGCTTTGGATTGTTTGTTTGTATGGTTTTAATTTTTGTTTATAAAAGCTAGTTTCTTTGCTGTTCTTTGTCAATTGCTGCTCTGAAGTGAACAGTTATAGTATAGATGGCAGAGCCAGTGATGCCAGAGCGCGTGAGTAATCTTGCATGACATGGGCACTGCAATTGAAGGATAAACCAAATAATTAACTTCTCGCCTGTAGTGAAATACCACTGGAGCTAATTTCAAAAATTATTTATGTCAGCACTCTGAGCTGTATGATTAGGATTTTATGGAACTCCCTGTATTATTCTATTGAAGATCAGCCTCTTGGCATTTCTGTTTGACATTGTGAATCATGTTGCTTGCCTTCACATCTCTTTGGGTTGTAGACGAGTCTATGATTAGGAAAAAAAAAAGATTTCTATCATCAGATTATGTGCAAGATTTTATATACTTGTGCTCATTTTGTAGGAAGCTGAAAACTATAGCAACTTAGTTAGGCAGCACATCGATCTGGAAATGGTTCAGAGTTGGCTTGAAAATGGCCGTTACTTGAGTTGCAAATCCAAATTCTTTCGTGATTTGTTGCTGCTTGTCAGCAACGCCATTGTTTTCTTCAAGAAGAATTCCTCAGAGTTTGTTGCTGCTACAGAGCTTCGGCAGCTTATTCTAAAAGAGATCTCCCAGACAAAAGCCAAGTCATATTCTTTATCCGGTAAACAAACCTCACTAAAATCAGCATCCTTGTCTCAGAAAGAGATAACAAAACCATCCGACTCTTTGCTATTGAAGACTAATATATCGGGGTCAATGATTGTCTGTCGCAAGCGTAGTTCCATAAAAGCCAAAGCATCAGCATCATCATCTGGAGGTGATAAAAAGAGGGAGCAAAGTATAACACGACCTGTGGAAAAAGTAGTTGTAGACACGTTGCAGCAGCCTAGTCAACTGGCCAGTAATGCTGGCGAAAATAGAATCACAAAGAAGAGAACACGAGATAGATTTGCTTCAGGTTCTGCAAGCTTGAATAAAAACGACAAGGGCCGTCCTAACACTGCATCCATAAAAAATTTAGCAGCGGTCGTCGATAAAAACCAAGGAGAAGGGGAGTCTTCTTCCCAGCATCCGCAATCTAAAAGTGAAAGCAGAAACGAGCAGTCCAACACGGATGTGAAGAAACGGAGTGTTGCTACTTTCCTGAATCGAATGAAGCAAAGTTCATCCTCAAACAGCGGTTTGTTGCTGGATGCGTTGAAGAGTAGGCCACTTAGCTCTGCTAGCAAAGGCGGATCGGAGCATAAGAAAAATGAAAGTGGAACAGGTGGCGGGAGAAAAGAACCAGCATCTTTAAAGACCCATCAAAAGAAAGAACCAACATTTTCAAAGAACCCTGAAGCAAAGCAAGCAAAGGAAAAAGGCAGTCCAATGAAAAAGAATATTGGGAGGCCACCAAAGAGAGGAGCTGATCCATCTCCCCCGTCTAGTAAACGGAGCAGGGAAGGAGCGGAATCTGCAGCAATCCCCACAAAACAACCCAAGAAAAGGTCAAGGAGGTGATGACACTGTATATTGTATGTATGAGTTAAGTTGTTTCTGTGTCCATTATTTTCCTTTTTTCATCATGACGCACCTCCTCCTTTCAATTGCTCCCTGCCCCCCGGGCAAAAGCTGCCTGGGGCTGGAAATGGGGGATTTGAAGAAAAGAGGAAAGACAGTTATAGGGTTCTTTAAAGTAGTTCCTGTTCTGCTTTTGTTGAAGCATTTTCGAGTTGTAGAAATATGTTCACTTTTTACCAAATGAGAATACTTTATTCTTCCTTCTGACGTTTTATTTTAAATATTATGCGCAGTATGGTTGACCTCGAATTAAGCTTGGCCCACAGCTTTCCTTTCGTTTTCCTTTCTTTTGCTGGAAAGATCCAACAGTTTGAACTTCAAAATCTGGAAATTCAAGGATATTGAGTACGGAGCTTAAATGTTGAACAGAAATTGTTATTATGAATGACCTTTGTTGTGCTAGATAGAATAAAGGGGTGAAGGATGGAGTTGGTCGTGACTCAGTTGCATCATTTAAATATTTGGCTCTGTAGTTGAAAACTATGTTGCTCAGACTCTCCGAAAATGTCAGTGGGTGCGTGTCGGATCTTTCAAAAATAGTGCATTTTCGGAGGACTCGACACGGGTCCGACGCTATTTTGGAGAGTCCGCGCAACATATGTTGAAAATATCGTAAACTCTTTCCTAAACTTAAATTTTATCCTTTATATAACCTTGTGAACAAAAACATGCCCAAACCGTAACAAAATCAGTAGAATCCATCCTACAGCTGCTCCAAGTTTAAAAAACTAACGGTTCTCTAACCGTACATCACTGCACGTTATTTCCCCATCTCTTTTTTCCAAATTCCTGCTTGCTACTTCAAAAATTGCTCAAACCTCATTGCAGTGCCAAAGGAAGTGATAAGAACTAATTCAGGTTACTGCTTTTGGCATCGATACTGAAACGTAGAAGTCTCCTCTCAAACTCATATTACAACTTGAAACATCCATTGCAACCTATGAACCAATTTGTCTCACTACCCTCAATACCGAAGCAATTGAAAAGATTAGGGTTTTATTGGTCCTATACTCCTATTCCGTTCTGTCAAATCTTTTGGTGTTTTTCAAACTAAAGGGATCTCCATTTTTTTGATGAAGTAAGGTGTTATATTGCTGGCATCAAGAAGATGCAAATCATTACAAAAGAGGTTGGTTAGCTCCATTTACACAAAAATACAGTTCTGACCAGGGAGCTAACCAGAAGGGCCAAAAGCCTAAAGTTGGCAATCAAACAAAAGACAGAGAGCTAATAAAATCTAGAAATGGAATAAATCATTTACAGAGGAAAGGTTGCTCCAGCTATATAGATTCCTAAGGCACTTTGCTTTCAGATAGCTGTTGGGAGTTGATATTCCATCAAAGCATCTGCTATTCCTTTCTGCCCAAATACACCAAATTATACATGCTGGGATCATCTGCCAGATCTTCTTGATGGTTCTACCGACTTTCCACTGACTCCAACTGTCAACTGCTTCTTTTATGCCTTGTGGAATTGTCCAACTCATGCCAAAAATTGAAAGGAACATGTGCCACAAATCTGCAGCCACTCTGCAGTGCAATAGCAAATGGTTTATAGATTCTGAGTTGTCTAAACACATGTAACATCTATTCACCAGCTGGAAATTCCTTCTACATAAGTTGTCTTGAGTTAAAATAGCACCTTTAAGAGCTATCCAGGTGAAGCACATGACCTTTGTGGGGAGTTTTGTCTTCCATATGAGCTTCCATCGCCAAATACTGGTTTGAAGCAAAAGAAGCAAAAGCAAGATGCTGGCTCGAAGTTTTAGTGCCGGAAGCTATTCAAGAAAAGAAAGCTCTCTTACTTGTTTAATGGGTTACTGCTGATATTTGTAATGTAGTATTGCATCTTTTTAGTAATGAAGCTCTATTTCTGGTTTATTGTTGCATTTCTGTGAGTTTCTGGTTTACGACTGCAAATTTAGAGTATCTGGTGCATTTGTCGTTCAATTATGCAGTTAAAAATTTTATGGTTCACTAGTGAATTTGTGGTTCATTTCTGTTGTTTCTGATTTTGGTGGCGCATTTCTAGTACTTCCAGACATTATGATTTTAAATACTAAGCTTTCTGGTGGTGCATTTCACTGGAATTTCTGGTTTTATGTACTTAGTAGCATTTAGTTTATTTCATCTTACACGCATATAATCAAGCTTCAAATCACCATAATTTATGCTAGACACCATGCATACAATATACAAGGACTAGTAAAATCAACTATTGTCTAGCCTTATGATTGTATAATTCTCTTCCCAATTCTTTATCCTTCTCGTAATTTATCAATTGACGCATTTTGTTACAAGGAAATCCAACAACATTAGCGTGGAAAGACAACACAGAAGAAGATGGAAATAGCGGTGAAAGTCAAAGAATTGCCCTAATTGTTTTTTTCCACTTCCATTGCTGCTGTGAGTCGGTGGTGGACGTTAGGAGGAACGAAAGGCTGATGTGCATTAAGCTAGTTTTTGGGGGTTCTACTTAAACGTGATTAGTGCGTATGCACCTCAAGTGAGCCCGGACGAGGAGGCCAAAAGGCGCTTCTGGGAGAAGTTGGATGAGGTTGTGCGTGGTATTCCGTATACTGAGAAGCTCTTCATAGGAGGATATTTCAATAGCCACATTGGGGCGACGTCGGGGGGTTACAATGACGTGCATGGCGACTTCGATTTTGGAGTTAGAAACGGAGTAGGAACTTCGCTGCCGGATTTTGCTAAGGCATTTGAGTTGGTGACAGCTAACTCCAGTTTCCCGAAGACGGAGGAGCACTTGGTTACTTTTTTGAGTTTGGTAGCAGGGATCCAGATTGATTATCTACTCTTCAGGAAGTCTGACAAAGGCCAGTGCGCAGATTGCAAGGTCATCCCAAGTGAGAACCTTACGATCCAACATAGGCTCCTGGTCATGGATTTGGAGATCAGGAGGGAGCGAAGAAAGAGGGTGGTGTATGGTCTACTTAGGATCAAGTAGGGAGCGTTGACTAAAGACAAAGCTTAGGAGTTGGGAGATAAGTTGCTGGCTATGGGGGCATGGAGGAGTAGTGGGGACGCGAGTGATATGTACACCGCGATTGCGAATTGCATTAGGGAGGCTGCTAGAGAGATTTTGGGGATCTCGAAGGGCTCCTCTAGTGGCCGCAAAGGGGACTGGTGGTAGAGTATTGAGGTCCAAAGAAAAGTGGAAGCCAAGAAAGCGGCATATTTGAAGCTTTTGGAGAGCATGGACGAGGAGGAGAATAGGTCGAACAGGGAGCGGTATAGGTGGCTAAGAAGGAAGCGAAGTTAACGGTTACTACAGCTAAGACTCACGCGTTTGAAAGTTTGTATGAAGAACTTGGAGGCAAAAGAGGGGATAAGAAGCTATACAGGCTAGCAAAGGTGCGAGAAAGGAAGGCACATGACTTAGACCAAGTGAAGTGTACCAAGGACGAGGAAGGCAGAATTTTGTTGGATGACACACTTATTCGACAGAGATGACAGACTTACTTCCATAAACACTTGAACAAATAAGGGGATAAAAATATTGTGTTGGGTGACTTAGAACTTTCTGAGAGTCGTCGGGACTTGGGGTATTATAGGCGTATAAAAGTTGCAGAGGTTGAAGGGGCTATGCGTAAGATGAGTAGGGGGAGAGCGATCGGGCTGGAAGAAATTTCGGTGGAATTTTAGAAGAGCGTGGGTAGGGAGAGCTTGCAGTGGCTCACTGGGTAATTTAATGTTATTTTAGGACGAAAAAGATGCCCGAAGAATGGAGATGGAGCATGATGATCCCGTTGTATAGAAATAAGGGTGATATCCAAATTCGTAACAACTATCGGGGTATCAAGTTACTAAGTCATACCATGAAAGTGTGGGGGGGGGGGGGGTGGAGCTGAGGGTGAGGAGGATTTTGTCTATTTCTAAGAACCAATTCGGATTTATGCCGGGACGTTCAACCACGGAAGCCATTCACCTTTGATGGATTAATATAGGGAGAGGAAGAGGGATCTACTCATGTTGTCATCGACTTAGAGAAGGCTTACGATAAAGTGTCGGGGGAGGTTCTGTGGAGATGTTTGAAAGCTAGAGGTGTTCCCGTTGCATACATTAGGGCTATTAAGGACATGTAGAGTGAGGACAATGGGAGGGGACTCTGAACACTTCCCCAGTTATGATGGGGTTGCACCAAAGGTCAACCCTAAGCCCATTTCCACTTGGACTAGCGATTGACGCACTGAAGCACCACACTCAGGCGGAGGTGCCATGGTGCATATTATTTGCAAATGACATTGTGCTGATTGACGAGATGCGTGGTGGTGTTAATGAGAGGTTAGAGGTTTGGAGACAGACCCTCGAGTCTAAAGGTTTTAAGTTTAGCAGGGTCAAAATAGAATACTTGGAGTGCAAGTTCAGTTATGCGATTCAGGTAGTGGATGAAGACGTGAGGCTTGATTCACAAGTCAACCCTAGGAGAGAGAGAGTTGCAAGTATCTTGGGTCAGTTATTCAAGGGAATAGGGAAATCGACGAGGATGTCACACATCGTATTGGAGCGGGATGGATAAAATGAAGGCTCGCTTCCGGTGTATTGTGTGATAAGAATGTGCCACCAAGACTTAAAAGGAAGTTCTATAGAGCGGTGGTCAGATCGACTATATTGTATGGGGCGGAGTGATAGCCAGTCAATAAATTCCATCTCTAGAAGATGAAGGTGACTGAGATGAGGATGTTGAGATGGATATGCATGCATACCAGATTAGACAAAATTAGAAATAGAGTTATCCGGGACAAGGTGGGCGTGGCCTTTATGCAGGACAAGATGCGATAGGCGATGCTAAAATGGTTCGGGCATGTGAAGAGGAGATGCACATATGCACCAGTGAGGAGGTGTGAGAGGTTGGCCTTGGAGGGCCAATGGAGAGGTAGAGGAAGTCCAAAGAAGTATTGGGGAGAGGTGATTGGGCAAGATATGACATTGCTCCAGCGTACTGAGGATATGACCATGGATAGCAAGGTGTGGGGATTGAGACTTAAGATAGAAGGTTAGGTAGTCAAGCTTTGTCTTTGTTTGTTACAGTAACTTTAGTACATCACTTATTGTCTTTTGTGTAATTTCGTCTTTCTAGACTACTATTATTACTTGTTGTTGCCTTCGCTTCGGTTTTCTAATTGCACTAACTAGTGTTAGTTTTGTGTTTTCGGTTGATTTTCTGATTGTTTTTCTTGTCATTGTCCATTCCCTTTATCTCTCCTGAGCCGAGGGACTTCTGGAAACAGTCTCTCAGCCTTTCTAAAGGTAGGTGATAGAATATAAGGGTCCACCAAACTCTATAGAGAACCAGGTTCTCTATCAGATTCAACAGTACACACACACACGGCAGTAAATAAATGACAAGAGGAATTTTACGTGGAAAATTCCCAGCTCAACGGTATTAAAAACCACGACCTACCCTTGTAGGATTTCAACTTCACTACTGAGCAACTTTTATATTACAACCTATGCAACCTAGGAATTAACCTCTTAATCCCTCGCTAACTTGTAATACTCTATTACAAGCCACTTTGTAATAACTCTATTACAAAGACTATACAACATGACTAACTCTAGCCAAGACTCAAACACTCAGGTTTAAGGTTTACAAAGGGGTTCCTATAGAATGCTTCTAAACAAGCTAGATAGGAATTACAATTGAAGAACTATTACAAAGTTACAACTCAACTAAAGACATATAATGACTTGATGTGGGAACTGGTCCGTAGTTGGTTTGTTCTTTGTTCTTGAAGCACTTGAAACTTTCTTGCTGGATAGTCACGTGAATGAGCTTTTGAAAAATTCAAGTGAATATGTTTTACCTTCCTTGATTGTATATATACATGTGTGAAATCACTTACAATGATGTAAGCAAGGTAGGTAAAAAGTCTTCCCTGGAAAATTGACTGTAGCACTGTTCCTGCATTGTACGTGTGCAGGCAGCAACTTTCCAGCTGGAGAGTTGACTTCGCACAGTCTCCTCGGGAACTGGTAGGGACCTGTTACCTCAGCTGTTCCTTCCACTCTGAAGAGTTGAATCATAACCCACGCTGAATCCTAACCTGGAACCTTGTGATCCTAAGGTCTTGTAAATGTATAACAGGTTCCTTATCTGGTTCTGGATAGTAAGTTTGTTAGATCATCAAAATATCAAGCAAAGTACTTATGACCAAAGTACTTGTAACCTATCAATTCTCCCCTTTTTGATGATGACAAACTCTTAATTGAAAATCCCAGAAAGAACCACATAGAACCAGACTGTAAACTAGAAGGATCTTAAATTTCCCCCTGAAACTCTACATTCCCCCTTAATCACTACCTGAACCTCTATAAGTTCCCCCTGAATCTGTATTTCTCCCCCTTCAGATTATTATTCATTTATGCTCTTTATTATTCAATTAAATCTTTCCCCTTTTGGCATCATAAAAAGCACATAACAAGTAAGTAGCATAAAGAAGTCTAGCGTAGTTAACTCATGCCACTTGTGTGCACACAACATGATAGAAAACAAAAACAAAAGAGCAGCAGCATAAACATCAAAAAGGAAATAACTTTCATTAACCAGATTTGGACTTTTACAGGCGGGAGCAGAATCATTGTTATCATCAATAGTTAAAACAAACAAAAACAATTGCCAGAAACAAAGAAAAAGATCACCAAAAACAACTTAAGAAGATAGACACTGGAAATTGGATACTGAGGGGACATTCTTTAGGGGACACTAGAGGAAGGAGGCTTGGAAGAGGCAGCAAGGGTTTGGAGAACAAGATCCATGCGAGCATTCGCAGACATTTGCTCATTGATTAGTCTTTCTTTCAGGTCCTCCACCTGTTTCCTGAGTTCAGCATTCTCCTTTGTTAGGCGTGCAACTTCTGAGCTATGAGAACTACTAGAACTAGGTGCCTCTTGTAACTGACTGAGCTGACTCTCAAGAATTGCGTTCCTAGCCTTCAACTTCCTGATCTCCTCTGTGGCACTGTTCTGAGCATTTATTAGTTGAGAGATAGTGGAAGTGCTTCCAACTCCTCCGACCTTGTCAATGCACTCACACTCCTCAAGAGTAGTTTTTGAAAAGGATTGCTTTTTAGTGCCCACTTTGGTCTGTCCCAGAGGTACTTTGAAGAACTCACTGACCTTTGCGAGAAGAAAACCATAAGGTAGTCTAGGATTCCCATACTTAAGGTTTTCTACCTTCTGCATATGCTCAATCATTATGGACAGCAAATTGATGGAGGCAAAATTATCCAAGGCTTCCATAAGGAACATGTCAGCTTTGGATGCAACGGATCTTCTCTAGCACGGGGAAGAAATACTTTGTTAACCATCTCAAAAAGCAATTGATATACTGGAAGGAATGCCTTCTTATGCACCTGTTCCCCATGTTGTATTGCCTTGTCCTTGACAATGGCATTTCTGAAGTTTGATGTGCAGGCACCCTGAGTAGATGATGGTCCTTCGGCAGGAACACCCAGAATTGACCCCAATAAGACAGAGTCCATCACTATGTCCACCCCTTTATCGACACACAGATTTTATCACCCTCTACTGTAAAGAGGCCGGTATAGAAAATCCGTACCTCCTCCTCATACATTTTGGGAACCTCATTTATAAACAAATTTGTCCATTGTTGAGAATCACAAATGTCCACTAATTGTCCCATCCCAGCAAGTTCTAGAATGTCAGAGGCAAATGTGCGGCCCCACAGTACTTTCTGATTTCTCAACATCCTTTTTTCATAACTCAGAGTCTCGCTAACTTTTGCTTTCTTGGTGGGACCAGGTTCCTCATCATCATCCATTTTTCTTTTTACTGACTTGCGAATAGACTTTCCCTTCTCCACTGACTTTTTCTGCACAAGTTCACCAAATTTTTCCACTTCTTCATCATCAAGCTTGTGACCGCTCTCTTTCACTGTCTTGACACTAGAATTTTTGACTAACTTTTCACTGGAAGCAGCATTAG